GACCCACGACTCCAGGAGACTGGGAGGGGCTGGGGCCTGATCCTGAAGCCTGTTGTCCAGAGCCCAGGGTCCTGGGTTCTCTGGTTAGACCATCCCCAACAGTCATGAAGGAAGGCACCTTGGAAGGGTCCACTCAGCCATCTCAGTATCGTGGCTTCCCTCCCGTTGTGGCCTGGCCTCTGTTGACAGAGCTGCTGCCTCAGAGGCCTGAGCACCCAATTCGGTCTCCTCCAGGCCTCCCAGACCTCTGAGATGACCCTGTTCCTGACCCTGGGTGGGGGCACTGCTCCTACTCTTTGTCCAGGGTATCCCATCGTGGTAGGCAGCTGTAGGGAGCTCCACGCACTTTCCCCCAGCCCATGGCCCACTCCCCAAATAACTCTTCTTCCCCCTCTGGGAGCAGCGAGGGTAGACCTGCCTAAGTGACCTGTCACCTTCCCTCCCTGTCAAGCCCAGTCCTGCTGCAGTCCCTCGGGCAGACCCTCACTGGGAGGGAGGAAGCTGAGGGATATCCCTAGGGTGTCCAGCAGACCCCCAGACTGGCTCACAGGGTCCTTGGACACAGACACAAATGCCTTTCCTTGTGCCAGGGGCACTGGACCCTGGAAGGGTGAGCAGCAGCCACGGGAGGCATGAGCCTCCCACCCCCCACCTGCCTTTCCCTGGGGAGTTGGTTTAGACGCCGCCTCCTCAGCACACAGGGTCTCCTGATGGGCCCGGCTGCCTCCCTGCACCCAGGCACGGACCCTGGCCCAGGTCTAAGGGACTTCTGTGGTGTGGTCTTAAAGCTAAGTGGGGTCCCAGCCTCACCCATGACCTTGCATGGAGGGCAACCACCCCTCCTTTCCACCTGCCCAGACCCTCAGGGTGAAGGGACCCCGATCCCTGACGCCCACCCTGGGGCCCAGCACCCCAGGGGGCCTTTGCTCATCATGTTCCCACTGGTGAGTCACTGTGGCTGAGGCAAAGTTTCTTTCTATTCCTTCCTAATGTTTTCATGGCTTCTATTTTCCCTGGCAGAGGCTGCTGGGCCCAAATCTGATCCATGTGTGAGCCAGCTGAGCCGGCCTCTGCGGGAAGTGACGCTCCACAGCCTCGGCCTCCCTGCTTCACACTCAGCTGGGGCAAGAGAGCAAATTCCAGACAGCCGAGGAGTGTGATTCAGAGGCTCGCAGAGGACATTTATGGGCAAGAGCTGGCTTCATGTGCCTGCTGCTAGGACCAGCCTGGGGACACATGGCAGGGTGAGAACAGCCAGGAACAAGGAGGCCTGTGGGGGCAGAGAGCCCAGTGTGTGCGCTTGCCTCCCAGGGGAGATGGGTCCTGAAGCTGTACTAGGCATAGCTTGGGCAGGACCCTGTCTGACCTGCAACTCGAGGGGGGGCACAGGTGAGGAGCAGAAGATGACACTGCGATCAGATGGCCCAGGGGGCCCGGCCCTTGAAACGTCCCACTGCCTCCTTAAGTGGGTACAAGGCAGAGCCCGTGGGAAACGCAGGAAGGGCCTGGAAAGGAGGAGGCGGGAGGCGCCAGGCAGCAGCCCCGCAGCTCTCCTGCTGCTTGCTCGGGGGCCAGGGCTGTGCAGGCCCCATGCCCCTGGCTGCGCTCTGGGTTCTGGGGAGACGAGCGGAAGGAGAGAGCCCGCCCCGCACCTCAGCGGGGGGCGCGGCGGGTCTGCAGAGCGAGGCGGCGTCCACTGTGGGAACAGTGCCTGCGCTTGGGTGGCCAGCAGCCAGCACGTCCACGCGGCCCGGCTCGCAGCTTCCTCAGGGTGAAGGCACGGGCCCTCGCCCCGCAGGCCGCCTCCTCGGGGCGGCGTCTGGCCTCCTCTGCCTTTCAGGCCCCACTTCGTCCACCTGGAGCCGGCCTCCCAGGTGCGGCCCCTAAAGCCAGCCCTTGATCCGACCTGGCTTCCCGGGGCCGTCCGGGGGGGCCGCAGGCTCTTACCTGGGCCCGGGCGCCCT